GTGCGTCGTTGCACAAGGCCACGCGGTGGTCGCGTTGGGATTGAAGCGGACACCGGTGGGCTTCAAACGTCGCCTGCGGCGGCCGACCAGGCTGTCGCATCAACACCGATTAGTCTTGGAGACTTCCCAAGAACATCATAAGCTTAGAGGACCCACGCTGTGATTGGTGAAGTTTTACTATGGAACCGTTGACGAAACCGATGCAATCAGTTTGGGCGAACGTCGAAGTCGCAGCGAATGCAGTATGAGGCAGATTACTGGGAATACACGCAGAGTATACATGGACCTTTTCGCCCTGCTAAGCTAATCCATCACGGCTACGAAACCAGGAAACCAGATTTGGAAGGAGCTCCGGCAGTAGCTTTTGCTTGCTCCGCACATTGCCAAGTGTGGGCGGACACGAAGACGCGTCAACAAACCTCATCACGGTGCAACGCGTCATGGACACAATGCATGTAGGTGGACTCGGAACCTTCGGAGAAGAACGTTCGCGTGCTCGGGGAACGCATCACCCCGCGTTCGCAGCTGACGCTTCCTGCTCCAACGTAGACTCTATTCACGCCATGGGCGACCGAGCGTGGTCTTTGGGCTACGAGTAGAAACAGTGCCTCACGCCCCCACGTCGCAGCGTTGGGCGTTGCATGAAGGCCGTACAAACGCAAATCCATCCGTTGCCACTACAGTGGTATTGCCGTCACTCGTAGCATGTGTTGAAACACTACTGTAGTGTACCGCAGAGCTGGTGCCGGCATCCTTTGGCGTGTCCTGCTCACAAGGAGCAAGGCGCGAGCGAGCTCCATGTTGGTCGTCGCTGACTGCGAGGTGACTGCCGCAGCGGCAGTACCAGCTGCTCTCGTGGAAGGCCTTGCAAAGCTGAACGATGCTACAAGTAGCTAACTACGTGGTGCGACGTGGCCACGAGAGGGGATTGATGATCCAACTCTAACAAAGATATGAGCTCTCGCTGGGGTGCGTCATTGGCGCTTGTTTTGGACCTCACAGACGGGAGCCGCTGATCCACCATTTCCATTCGATTGAAATTCGAAACCTCGTACTATCGTGGCCAGCAAAAGCGACTAGGTGGCGCGACCCACTGCCCTTAAAAAGACTGGGACAACCATGCGCTTCGTAGCAAACAACTCGTGGTGCATATCAAACCCACCCGCATACCAACCTTCTACGAGTGAGAGCACCGAAACATTCCTAGTCTGTCGACGCTAGCGACGACACCAAGCTTTGACGCAGCATCTGATTAACCCTGACGTCGACGTTGAATTCTGCAACGACGATCGCTCGCTCAAAGTGGTACATATATGCAGTCGTGTTGCGCACTAGTCGAGCAAAACTGCCAAGTTCAACACACCGAATGTTGCAGTCAGACATCCCAGCGTGGGTACGCAGGTAGCTACCAATACGGTCAAACACGCAAAATTACCACTGAGCGGCCAATAGCCTTCATGCCCAAACAAAATACCCGAAATGAAAAACCACAAACATATATCAAACTATTACAACGCTGCCACGTCAGATTTACAACGCACACTCGAACCACTTTTGCGGCTTGCGGTCCGCGCCCCACCAGCCATCGCCGTTGCGGAACGA